GACACCCACAGCCCTGCTGTGGGCTTTGACTTCGGGGAGAGAGCTGTCAAGTCCCGGAAAATCACTTTCCACTCTCAGAGCACTGCCCCGCCCCCTCCAGAGGTACTTACTGGTCGCCACGCCCTGAGGGCAGGCTTTCTGCCCCATTCACAGGGAACTCACTTCCTTGAGGTCAAGGGACCTTACTGCTGGCATCCAGTCTGGACCACGGGAAGGTGGGGCTTTTGCGGCCACATGGGACCCCGTCCTCATTCACAGGGCCCATGGCCTTATCCACTCGACCACTTCCAGGTGTTGCACATGTTCCCAACCCATTCTTGGCTTGGCCACTTCTGGCTGATCACCTAGCCTGCCCCCCAAACCGCCTAAACCCCCTTGTTTAGGTTGCTGCTGCCGGGCGACCGGCCAGATAGCCAGCTGACCTTTAACCTGTGTCCCTGCCCACCAAACTTTCTCCTGCTTATGTCACCATTACCTGCTCTTCACCTGGCCCCCCCTTGTTGACATGACTGCCTTCAACTGTTCACCTGGCACGGCCCCTTCATTGACCTGAAGACCTTCACCTGTCGGCCTGGCCTCGCTCCTTGTTCCAGAAACCCCGCCCCTCATTCATTGGACCAATGAGCGAGCAGCACTCACCAGGCTGCTCTGCTACTCACACATGTGGGCCTACCGCCCCAACTCTGGAAGTGGTGTTAGGTTCCTAAAAGGCCCAACTACAGATGGCCTTCTGCTCAAAGGTTGCTTCCCACCCAGGGGCCAGGTCCACAAGCATGGGAAGACCACCCCCCACTTTCGAACAGCCATGGGCCTCTATGAGCCCCAGGGGCCCCCATCGCCCCCACCATGGGGCATCTCACAACAAAGTGTCCTGTGACACCCACAGCCCTGCTATGGGCTTTGACTTCAGGGAGAGAGCTGTCAAGTCCCCGAAAATCACTTTCCACTCTGGGAGCAGTGACCCTCCTCTCAAGAGGTACTTAATGGTTGCCAGGCACTGAGGGCCGGCTTTCTGCCCCATTCACAGGGAACGCCCTTCTTTGAGGACAAAGGACCTTCAGTCTGGACCACAGGGCCAGTGGCTTTTGCAGCCACTCGGGACCCCAGTCCTCATTCACAGGGCCCCATGGCTTTATCCACTGGACCAATTCAAGGTGTTGCCCCTGGAACCAAAACATTCTTGGCTTGGCCGCTTCTGGCCGATCACCTAGCCTGCTCCCCAAAACCCACTGCCCCCTTGTTTAGGTCACTGCTCTTGAGCGGCCTGCCTGACAGCCATCAGGGCTTTCCCCCGTGTCCCTGCCCACCAGCCTTTCTCCTTATGTCACAATTATAGGCTCTTCACCTGGCCCCACCCTCTTGTTGACATGATGGCCTTCAGCTGACAGCTAGGCCCCGCCCATTTGTTGACATGACTGCCTTCAACTGTTCACCTGGCCCCACCCCCTTATAGACTTAACAACCTTCAGCTGTTGGCCTGGCCCCACCCCCTCATTCCAGAAACCCTGCCCCTCATTCATTGGACCAATGAGCGAGCAGCACTTGCCAGGCTGCCCTGCTCTTCACACATGGGAGCCTACCACACCACCTCTGGAAGTGGTGTTAGGTGCCTAAATGCCACAACTGCAGATGGCCCTCTGCTCACAGGTTGCCTCCCACCCAGGGGCCAGGTGCACAAGCATGGGGAGACCAGCCCCCCTTTTGGACAGCCATAGGCCTCCAAGAGCCCCAGGGGCCCCCATCACCCCCACACATGGGGCATCTCACAATGCAGTGTCCTGTGAACCCTACAGCCCTGTCTATGGGCTTTGACATCAGGGAGAGTGCTGTTTCAAGTACCCAAAAATCACTTTCCACTCTGGGAGCACTGACCTGCCCTCCTGAGGTACTTACTGGTTGCCGGGCCTTGAGGGCCGGCTTTCTGCACCATTCACAGGGAACGCCCTTCCTTGAGGACAAGGGCCCTTCTTGCTGGCATCCAGTCTGGACCTCGGGAAGATGGGGCTTGTGCGGCCACTCAGTTCCCCCATCCTCATTCACAGGGCCCCATGGCCTTATCCACTGGACCACTTCCAGGTGTTACCCCTGGCCCCAACCCATTCTTGGTTTAGCCCAAAAAACTCCCAACCCCCTTGTTTAGGTTGCTGCTGCTGGGAAGCCTGCCTGATGGCCAGGAGGCCTTTCCTCTGGGTCCCTGCCCACCAGCCTTTCTTCTGCTTACATCACAATTATGGGCTCTTCCCCTGGCCCCGCCCTCTTGTTGACATGATGGCCTTCAACTGTTCTCCTGGCCCCAACCCTCGTTCATTTGACCACCTTCAGCTGTGGGCCTGGCCCGGCCCCTCGTTCCAGAAACCACGCCCCCGTCTTCATTGGACCAATGAGCGAGCAGCACTGGTCAGGCTGCCCTGCTCCTCACACTCGGGGGCCTACAGCCCAACCTCTTGAAGTGGTGTTAGGTGACTAAATGCACGAACTGCAGATGGCCTTCTGTTCACAGGTTGACTCCCACCCAGAGGCCAGGTCCACAAGCATGGGGAGATCAGCCTCCCCCGCCTTTCGAACGGCCATGGGCCTCCATGAACCCCGGGGGGGCCCCCATCTCCCCCACCATGGGTCATCTCACAACGGAGTGTCCTGCAACCCCCACAGCCCTGTCTATGGGCTTTGACACCGGGGAGAGAGCTGTGTCAAGTCCCCAAAAATCACTTTCCACTCTGGGAGCACTGCCACGCCCCCTTCAGGAAACCAAGGGCAAGTTTCTTTAACCCAACTTAAGAAATCAAGAATTTGACTACATTTAACAGAGCATTCCTCAGCTTTAAGCATTTGAGAGTGGAGATCTTTTTACTGAGACCCTGAATTACCCATATTTGACAACAAGCTAATACTATAATCTGCTTCTTACCTTACATCTTTAATTTGTCATGCAACACACTTCTTGGAGCAACCACTCACCTGACTTTTTAGTGTTCCCCTTTACTCAAGTCCCTGGATCCAGGTGCCAAATATAAGTATTCTCTCTTTTACTGCATCCAGCTGAAATAAGAAGAATTCAAATTCTAAGCAAGGTTATAGGCAGAACTTCCTTTTTTTTTTTTAAATTAAAGAGCCAGCCCTATGTGCACTTAGTGGTTATCTCAATACTGGCCTTGAAAACAATACAATTCTATCCAATTAAAAAAAAAAAGTGCACCTGGCATGGTATTGAGATTGTGGGCATATCTGGTGTCTGGCCTACAAGGTCAGACAGCTAAGTTTATCTTCATCATTCTTCAAACGGGCTAAAGCAAACTAGAAAGCAACATTTTATCTAGGAAGAACAGCAGAAAATTCCAAACAACAGTTTGTTGCAAAATAGGGGTTTTCCTTCTCAGAACCTTTAAAAAGAACTACCCGCCCCTAAAGCCTCGCAGTTGTGTGGTACTCTTGCAGCTGCCCTGGCCAGACATTCAATAAATCCTTGCCTGCTTTTTTTAATTAATCATCAGCCTCCGGTGGTCTTATTCTGAACCCAGGGTTCGACCCCACAACATTTGTAGGCCCCCAGCGAGATACCGAGAGTGAGGAGAGAGGAGCCCCCCAAAAAGGGCAGGAGGCTCTCCCTCTGGCAGGAGGAGAGAGGGACCCCCCAGAAGGGTCAGGAGGCTCTCCCTTTTTTCGGGGACCTTAGCCGGAGACAGAAGCCGCAAGGATTTATTGAAATTGGGGAGACCGGTCTGAGGAGGTAAGGCACCCAGATTGAGATCTCAAAAGGGTAAGAGTCCTTGGAGGGCTGGACGCGACTTAACCTCCAGGCTCTGGCGGCAGGAGGACACGACAGTGTCCTCGGCCCAGGAGGACACTACAGTGCGTGTCCTTGTCCCCAGGTGTCCGGACTGGTTGTCTTGTGTTTTGTCATGTTTGTGTCAGGCCTATTTGTTTTGTGTTTTGTGTTTTGGTCTCCGTCAAAATGGGTCAAAGTTTGTCAGTGTCTGTGTTCCCCTCTATAGTATTTTTTGAAAAATTTCCAGGACTTCAAGAAACGGGCGGATGACTATGGCTCTGTTAATGCTTTTGATTTAACCACTCTTTTTCCCAGATCAACGCCGGTCTGTAGGATAACTTTTCCCTCACAGTTCCTAGAGTATTAATCTTGTTTCCTTTGTCCAACATGAGTGCCATTTCTGTTTTGCTGAAACATTGTAATAGTACTTGTTTATTGAAAGGGTATAAGTACAGACATTTGTTTGATGTTTTGTTTGTCTACTTGGGTATAATTATTTGTTCATGTAAGTGTGAAAATCTGTGAAAAAAGAAAAAGAAAAAAAGAGAAAGAAAGAAACCTTTAATTTGTTTAAAGCTGAATGCTCTGACTGCTAGCAAACAGCCCCGAGTGGCCACTGGGATTCATTTTTCCCAGGGGTGCTTTGCTTTCTGTCAGAGGGGAATCGGCCCACCTAACAGGATTTATATGTTTATTAATTTGAAGGTATAAAGTTGTAACAATTATAGTCCAAAAAAAGTTAAAAGCAGAGACCAAATTCTAAAGTTAACTATTTACAAGAAAGAAGCTTGAGCTGGCAAAATCACCAAGTCTGCCCAGCAAGCTCAAAAAACTAAATGAATCTTATTTCTGTCTTGATCAGTGATGGAGGAACTGTTTGTTTCAATTGATCAATTTAAGTTTGATATAATTAATGATTATAGTACATTGTAAAATCTTTAATAGAAAAGGAAAATATTTTGAGGGCAATTTGGTCCTTATGTATGTATGTCAACTCTTAAGTTATAGTTTTAAAATCAGTAATATTAATGGAAACACACGCAGGGGAGCTTTTCAGAAAGTTCAGGGAGTCTGATTGCAGCGTAGGGGTCACTGGTTCCCCCAGGGCACCTTCACTAGCAAGAGGCAAGCGCTTTTCCCAGTGGGAGCAGAGTGGACTGCCAGATAAAAACGCATCGCCTGGGTGGGAGCACCTCCTTTGCCACCTGGTACCCACACATTCCCTGCCTCCACCTATCTGGTGTCTATTCCCTCCAGGGGTTGTTTAGAGTAACTGGAGGTGGCAGCTGCAGCAAGGAGAGAAATTCCTTTGTGACCCCCTGCACCCCAATGAGACCCCAAAACCCTGGGTGACTGCTTGGACACTTTTCACTGTGTTCTGTTAGGGGGCATAAAGGCGCAGTTAGAAATTCTCCCATTCAGGCCTTCAGAATCTGAGATCTGTATCTATAGGAAAAATGTGGCATTTTAAATTTCAAGCGGCTAGAGCCTGGGAACAGGGTGCTGAGTCTGCTCCCTCCTCCCTCTGCCTTTTCTAAATATTTTAAAATAATGGGAGGAAATAATAGGAGGTTTAAGGCATGGTTATGAATTTTTGAAGGACAAAGAAAGAATGTTTAAAGGTTAATGTGAAATAGTGAAGGCTTTTGTGAAGGTTGTGCATGTGATGATAAAGAGAACAGAGAAAAGGTTTGAAAGGAAGAGAAAGCCAGCAGCAAATAGGATGGAATTTGTATGCCTATTATAGGAAACAGGGGCACTGAAGGAAGGATGTCCTGGCAGATTAGCTGAAGAGGCAAGAAGGGAGACTTAGACTCAAAGGGTGTTTTTTTTTTTGTTTTGTTTTGTTTTTTTGTTTTTTTTTTTTTTTTCTAACTTAGAGGAAGAGGACTGACAGGACCGGGGCTCCTATCCTTTAAGCCATAAGAGTAACCTTACAAGTAGAGGGCAAACCTGTTACACTGGGGCAGCCTATTCAGTCCTGATAGAGCCGATGGACCTCTAGAGCCACCAGACAAACTGCCCATTTTCCTTGGTCATCATCAAGGACTGTGGACCTAGGAAAAAACATGTACTGGGGGAACGCAGCTTCTGAACTGGACCAAAGTGGAACAATGGGCCTTTGAGGAGGTAAAGAAGGCTCTCATCTCAGCACCTGCCCTAGCCTTGCCAGATGTCACAAAGTGAGTGAGGTAAGGGGCATTGCCAAAGGGGTTCTCACTCAGACTCTAGGTCCCTGGAAGAGGCCTGTTACCTATCTATCTAAGAGGCTAGACCCTGTGGCAGCAAGGTGGCCAGTGTGTCTCTGGGCAGTGGCCACCACAGCATTACTGGTAAAGGAGACAGGTAAGCAGACTCTGGGCCAGGAGCTAGCCCTGACAACACCCCATGCCACTGAGACCCTCCTTCGAGGTGCTCCAGAGAGATGGATGTCAAACACCAGAATCACCCAGTGCCAAGCTCTTCTCCTGGACCAGCCCTTCATCCGGTTCCATAAGACACTGGCCATCAACCCTGCCAGCCTGCTTCCAGATGATGACCCGGAGGAACCCATTTATGACTGCATAGAGGTAACAATGCAGTACTGACAGATGTCTGCCGTCATCACCAGTTGAGGTACTGTACACTGATGGGAGCAGTTACATTCAGGATGGGATCTGATATACAGGGGCAGCAGTAGTCATCCTGGACCACACCATTTGGGAAAACTTTTGGCCTTAATCCAGGCCCTTTGATGGGGATACAGTGCCATCCCCTGGGAAAGAGAGTTACCAAGTCCAGCCAGAAAAGACATTATTTTAGCCTTATTTGAGGCCATCTGACTCACAAAGGCAGTTGCAATAGTGCACTGCAAAGGACATCAGAAAGGGGAGACAATTGAAGCCAGAGGAAATAGAGCCACAGACCAAACTGCTAAGGAAGATGCCCCAAAACCAGTGGGGCCTTTACAAGTCTTAGTAATCCTGCCGGACCCCCACCTCTACCAAACTAGAGGAGGAATTGGCTAAACAGAAGCCAGCCATCAAAGGACCAGATGGTTGGTAGACCCTACCAGATGACAGACTGTTGGTCCCAGAGGCTCTAGGTTGGACGTTAGTTGCCCAGTTACACCAGGTTACCCACTTAGGTGTCAACAAGACTTCAAAACTTCTGTGAGGCTTAAACTTAAGTAAGATAATTAAAAGCCTAGTTGCTAGAAGCATACAGATAAATGCTGAGGTAGGAGGGTCTCCCTGGGAATTCAGGCCCCAGAAAAATTCCCCAGGGGAACATTGGGAGGTAGATTTCGCAGAGATTAAGCCACCAGCATTGAGGTACAAGTACATGCTAGTTTTTTTTTGTTTGTTTGTTTTGTTTTGTTTGTTTTTTCAAAGAAGAATTTTTTAAAAATATATATTTTATTGATTTTTTTACAGAAGAAGGGAGGATAGAGAGTTAGAAACATTGATGTGAGAGAAACATCGATCAGCTGCTTCTTGCACACCCCCCCTGGGGATGTGCCCCCAACCAAGGTACATGCCCTTGACCGGAATCAAACCTGGAACCATTCAGTCCGCTGGCCGACGCTCTATCCACTGAGCCAAACTGGTTTTGGCATATGCTAGTTTTTATAGACACCTTCTCAGGTTAGGTTGGAGCATACCCGACTATGACAGAAACTGCCTCTATCGTAGTCAAGAAATTACTCCAGGAGATTATACTTAAATTCAGATTTGGGCTGCCAGTAGTCATAGGATCAGATAACAGCCCAGGCTTTATAGCAAGGTATCTCAAAGTATAGCTCAAGCCTTAGGACAGGCATGAGCAAGACTCTAAAAAGTTTAATTAAATTTGTCCTAGAAAACGGTGAAAACTGGACCAACCTCCTGCCTCTTCTCCCTCTTATGGGCCAGGTCCCCTTCCCCCCCCCCCCCCTTTTTGAGATCATGCATGGTAGACCTCCCTTCATCCTTCCCGAGGTCAGGGAGAAACTGAAAGCTGGAATTCATAACCATTCCCTTACTCAAGTCCTTACAGGCTCTGCAGTTTACCCAGAGAGCCACCAATAAGCTTGTGCCTACCGTGGACCCTGTATACCCCTTCCATCCTGGAGACTCTGTGTGGGTAAAGAAGTTCACTGCCCAAGGACTCACCTAAACCTAAAAGGGGCGCTCTACTGTTACCCTGTTAAAGTAGATGGCACCCAGACCTGACTATACCACTCCCAGCTCCTGCACAGAAAATGGCCTGGATCCTGGCAAGCAGCGGCCTCACCTGTGAAATCCCTAGCCTGGGCTCCACACAGGCCAGGAGGAGACTTGATGCCTGCAGGAGAGGAATTGGACTTCAGTGAGAACAGTACTGATGGGAACTGTGGTACTAGGGGTCTTGGTAACTGCAAGAACGTTTTGTGTGTTTTTTTGCTAGCCAGTGAGAAAGTCGGAGGCTAAGTAAGGCTATATATGCAAGCAGAAATTAGATAAACAAATAGACCAGGAGTTAAGTACCCTAGAGAAATCTATAGGGAAATTAAAAGAATCGGTCAGGTCCCTAGCAGAAGTAGTTTTGCAGAACAGAAGAGGTTTAGATCTGTTGATCCTAAAGCAAGAGGGACTTTGCCTAGCTCTAGGAGAAACCTGCTATTTCTACACCAATCATTCCAGAGTCATAAGGGAAAACCTAAATCAGTTGAGAAAGAGGCTAGCTGACAGAGAGGAAGCTCAGAAGACTGCAGGAAACTGGTATGAGAACTTGTACTCGTGGTCCCCTTGGCTCACCACCCTACTGACTGCCGTAGCAGGCCCACTATTACTATTACTTATAGGCTTAATCTTTGGGCCATACCTCATAAACTGCTTAATTAATTTTGTACAGGATAGAATACAGGTAGTGAAACTAATGGTCTTACATACTCAGCATTCTCCACTAGTAGATACTTGTAATGAATCTAGGTTTAGATTCACTCCCAAAAGACCAGTAGGGAATGAAATAAGATGAATTCAAATTCTAAGCAAGGTTACAGGCAGAACTTCCTTTTTTTTTTTTAATTAAAGAGCCAGCCCTATGTGCACTTAGTGGTTATCTCGATGCTGGCCTTGAAAATAATACAATTCTATTCAATTAAAAAAAAAATACAACAGTGCACCTGGCAAGGTATTGAGATTGTGGGCATATCTGGTGTCTGGCCTACAAGGTCAGACAGCTAAGTTTATCTTCATCATTCTTCAAACAGGCTAAAGCAAACTAGAAAGCAACATTTTATCTAGGAAGAACAGCAGAAAATTCCAAACAACAGTTAGTTGCAAAATAGGGGTTTTCCTTCTCAGAACCTTTAAAAAGAACTATCTGCCCCTGAAGCGGGGTAGTCGTGTAGAGTCTGTCTGTGTGTGGTGCTCTTGTGGCTGTACTGGCCAGATATTTCAATAAATCTTTGCCTGCTTTTTTAAATAAATCATCAGCCTCCGATGGTCTTATTCTGAACCCAGGGTTCGACCCCACAACATCAATGAAGCTAGAGAGTGGTTCATGAATCCTGAATAGGGATTGAGAAAATGAAAGAAAGAGACAGACACAGAAGCAGAAGGGAAAAGCTGGGGCTGGGTGGAATGCTCTTCTCTCCAATGGAGAAACAGTGACCCAGAGCTTGCACAGCATATTTATTTTATACAATATGATACCAGGAAGTTTTACTAAAGTTTAAGATAAAAGGAAATTATATGAAATCATGGTTAAAAATCAAGCTGTTATTCTTCATTCTTGTGGCTTCTTGTAATAATCACTTCTGGCTGGGTCTGGTGTCTGGCTGAACTCAGATAAGAAAACCCACCCCCTCATGCCTGAGCTAACGGTCAGGCTGGCAACATACCTAACTCTGGCATGGTATGTTTTCAGGGCATGGCTCTGCCAATGCCACTGGATTCAGATGACAATTAGCTCAGGGGCCTTTCCCAGGCATTTTCTATACTGTACCAGTGAACTCCAAGTGATTTCAAACATGTTTCTTCCTAGTTTACACCTCTTGAGAGTAATTTCCAAGTGCTTTCAAATATATTTTTATAGAGTGTGCATCTCTTTGTCAGCAATTTCCAAGTGTTTTTGAATACTTTTCTAGTTCTAGCTTTTTACCAGTGTTTTCCCATTGTTATTAAAAACTCTTGTACCTAGTTTCCTGCTCTTTACCAGTGTTTTTCCTATATTTTCAAACACCTTCTCACCTACTTTTCAGCTTTTTACCAGTTAATTCCCAGTGTTTTCACAGTTTTACACCTGTTGCCTATCTCCTAACCAGTGATCTTTAAATGTTTAGAAACAGTTTTATAGCGACTTAGATTTTTAGCAGTTAGTTCCAGGTGTTTTCATTTTTCTACAGTTTACAGCTCTTTACTAGTGAATTCTCCTATTTCAAACATTTTTTTCTCCTTGTTTTTTCTCTTTATCAGTAAATTCAGTGTTTTCAAACAAGTTTTTACGTAGTTTCCAGCTCTTTAACCAGTGAATTCCATGTGTTACCAAACAGTTCTCATCTGTTTCAGCTGTTTACTAGTGTATTCCCAGTGTTTTTCAGCACCTTTGAACCTAGTTTTCATCTTTTTTTAAACCAGGGTTTTCCTAGTATTTTCAAACCCATTTCTTTCTATTTTCCATCTCTAAACCTTTGATTGCCAAGTGTTTTCAAACACTTTTGAATCTAGTTTCTATCTCTCAATGATTTCCAAGTGTTTAGAAACAGTTTTATGGAAACTTAGAAACTCTTTATCAGTCATTTCCAAGTGTTTTGAAACACTTTTCTAGAGAGTTTCCAGCTCTTTACCAGTAACATCCACATATTTTCAAACATTTTTCTACTGTTTCCAGCTCTTTACCAGTGAACACCTCCTGTTTTCCAACCCTTTTCTACTCAGAATCCAGCTCCATACCAGTGAATTCAAAGTGTTTTCAAACATATTTCTACCTAGTTTCCAACACTTTACCTATAAATATCTAATGTTTTCAAACACATTTATATCTAGTTTCCAGCTCTTTGCCAGTGCTTCCCAGTGTTTTCAAACACATTTTTACCTATTTTTCAGCTCTTTACCAGTGTTTTATGCATAGTTCAAGCACATTTACGTATTTTTAAACATAGCTCTTTACCAGCAAATTCCAGTGTTTCCAGCTTTTTAGCAGTGAATTCCAGGACTAAGGCTCAGCTTAGGGTTAGGGATAGAGTTAGTGTTTAGGTCTTTGCCTGCAATTGGAATCACTTGGAGAGTTAGTGTTAAAGAAAGGTTTAAGGTTAGGACTAGGGCTAGGCCTAGGGTTAGAGTTATTGTTATATTACGATTAAGGTTAAGTTTTATGGTTGGGTGTGACTGCCACATCCATTTACAGCTATGGTTCAGGACCTGGAAAAGGAGCTCTGCACAAACAAATACACTAGACAAGAAATATGAATTTAGGAGGCATGGTGGGGGGGCAGGTGAAAAAACTTTCTTTAGTGGAGAGGCTCTCTGAAGCCCTGGCCCTGTTAGCTTTTATTTGATTTAGAATACACATCTTGCCCTCAGTTAGGTAGGCAATCTGGTAGCAGACAGACTATCATAAAGGTCAGTAAATATTAGTAAAGATTTTCTTTGAGACTATTATGTCAGGAAATTTCTTGAGCCACCATTATTTCGACAGAACAACTGGACAATCGGTGCATAGCTTTAGCTCTTGCTAAAGCTCAAGGTTCATCAGCCGTCCAAGTTTCCTTGTTACACTTTCATGATAGTGTTGACAATGGATAGCTTCCAGCATCTCCTCCTTTTTGTTTTCTTAGTAAATTTTGAAAAGTGTGTGCTATCTATAAGGTTTTAGTCCTTTTAAGACTTTTCATTCTGAATCTGCTGACTAGAAATAACTTTTTAAGAACAGGCAATAGTGGTTATGCTAAGAGGGAAATGTAAGGAGATCGAGTGAAAGGGATTAAATTCTTTCATGTCCTTTTTAAATTGTCAGGCATTTAAGGAACTAGTTTGTAGTAAGTTTCTTTCTGCGCCATCAGTTCTTTGAGTGCCCTTCCCAATCATTCTCCCCTGTGTAAGTGTACCATAGTTTTCAATCCACTCATCTGCTGAGGGGCACCTAGGTTTTTTTCAAACCTTAGTTATTGTAAATTGTGCTGCTATGAACAAAGGGCTGCATATATCCTTTATGATTGGTGTTTCTTTTTTTAAAAATATATTTTATTGATTTTGTACAGAGAGGAAGGGAGAGAGATAGAAAGCTAGAAACATCGATGAGAGAGAGTCATCGATCAGCTGCCTCTTGCACACCCACTACTGGGGATATGCCCGTAACCAAGGTACATGCCCTTGACCAGAATCGAACACGGGTCCCTTCAGTCCCCAAGCCGACGCTCTATCCATTGAGCCAAACCGGTCTCGGCTATGATTGGTGTTTCTATTTTCATGGGATATACTTCTAGAAGTGGAATTACTAGGTCAAATGGGAGTTCAAATTTTAGTTTTTTGAGGAAACTCCATACTTTTTCTCCACAGTGGCTGCACGAGTCTGCATTCCCACCAGCAGTGCACAAGGGTTTCTTTTTCTCTGAATCCTTGCCAACACTTATCATTTGTTGATTTGTTGATGATAGCCATTCTGACAGGTGTGAGATGATACCTCATTGTCATTTTGATTTGTATCTCTGGGATAATTAGTGACTGAGCATGTTTTCATATGACTCTTGGCCTTCTTTCCGTCTTTTTTTTTTTTTTTTTTTTTTTTTTTTGAAAATATTCTATTTAGGTCTATTGCCCATTTTTTTAATCATTTATCTTCCTTTGATTAAGTTGTATGAGTTCTCTGTAAATGTTAGAGTTAAACATTTATCAGTGATAACGTTTGTTGATATGTTATCCCATAGAGTGGGCTTTCTTTTTGTTTTGTTGATGGTTTATTTTGCTGTGAAAAAGCTTTTTATTTTAATTTATTCCCATTTGTTTATTTTCTCTGTAGTTTCCATTGACTTAGGAGCAGTATTGGTGAAGAAATTGCTTTGACATATGTCTGAGATTTTTCTGCCTGTGGATTCCTCTAATATTTTTATGGTTTCCCATCTTATGTTTAAGTCTTGTATCCATTTTGAGTTTATTTTTGTGTATGGTGTAAGTTGGAAGTCTAGTTTTATTTTTTTGCATGTATCTGTCCAATTTTTCCAACATCATTTGTTGAAGAGACTGCCTTGACTCCATTGTATATTCATACCTACTTTGTCAAATATTCATTAAGCATAGTGATTTGGGTTGATATCTGGATTCTCTATTCTATTCCACTGATTTATATGTCTGTTCTTGTGCCAGTACCAGTCTGTTTTGAGAACAGTGGTTTTGCAATACAGCTTGAATTCTGGTATGGAGATCCCACCTACTCTGTTCTTCTTTCTCAGGATTGCTGTGGCTATTCAGGGTCTTTTTTTTTTCAGATGAATTTTTGAAGACTTCTTTCTAGATCTGTGAAATATGCTATTGGAATTTTAATGGGGAGTGCATTGAACCTATAAATTGCTTTGGGAAGTATGGACATTTTAATGATGTTGATTATACCAACCCATGAACATGATATGTTCTTCCATCTATTTACATCTTCCTCTATTTCTTTTTTCAGTGTCCCGTAGTTTTCCTGGTAACCCACTTATTGTTTAATAGCATGCTATTTAGTCTCCATGTGTTTGATTTTTTTTTGTAGTTGATTTCTTGTTTTATGGCATTGTGATCTGAGAAGGTGCTTGATATGATTTCTATCTTCTTGAATTTGAAGAGACTTTGTGACCCAATATATGGTCTAACTTTGAAAATGACTCTTGAGATGAATGTATATTCTGTGTCATATATATATATATATATATATATATATATATATATATATATATATATATGTGTGTGTGTGTGTGTGTGTGTGTGTGTGTGTGTGTGTGTGTGTGTTATTGATTTTTATTACAGAGAGAAAGAAAGAGGGATAGAGAGTTAGAAACATCGATGAGAGAGAAACATCTATCAGCCGCCTCCTGCACACCCCCAACAGGGATGTACCCATAATAAAGGTACATGCCCTTAACCATAATTGAACCTGGGACCTTTCAATCTACAGGCCAATGCTCTATCCATTGAGCAAACTGGTTTCGGCTATTCTGTGTCTATATGGTGAAATGTTGTGAAGATGTCAATTAATTTCATCTGGTCTAGTGAGTCATTTTGGATTGATGTTTTTTGTTTTTTTTTTAAGTTTAGCTACATCAGATAGCAGGTTTTTGTTTTTTTTAATATCTATTTTATTGATTTTTCACAGAGAGGAAGCGAGAGAAGGATAGAGAGTTAGAAACATCGATGAGAGAGAGACATTGATCAGCTGCCTCTTGCACACCCCTACTGGGGATGTGCCCACAACCAAGGTACATGCCCTTGACCGGAATCGAACCCGGGACCTTTCATTCCACAGGCAGACATTCTATCCACTGAGCCAAACTGGTTTCGGCAGGATTGATGATTCTTTGCTGATTTTTTGTTTAGAGGATTTGTCCATTGGTGATGGTGGGGTATTTAATTCTCCTACTATGATTGTATTGTTGTAAATCTCTCCCTTCATATCCTCCAGGAGGTTTGTTTTTTTGTGTGTGTTCCTGTATTGGGTGTGTATATGATTACCAGAGTTATGTCTTCTTGCTGGATTGTTCCTTTTAGTATTATGAAGTGGTCTTCCTTATCTCTTTTTATATCATTCACTTTAAGATCTAAATTGTCAGATATAAGTATTGCTACCCCAGCTTTTTTTCATTTTCATTCACCTGGAAAACATTTTCCATCCACTCACCCTCAGTCTGTGTGTGTCTTTATTTCTGAGGTGGGTTTCTTGTAGACAGCAGATATATGGGTCATGATTTCTTATCCAATATGTTACCTTATGTGTTTTGATTGGGGCATTTAATCCATTTACATTTTAACTTATTATTGATAAGTACTTGTTTATCGCCATTTTTATTTTTACTTCTGTTTTCCTTCTTCGCTTCATATTATGTGTTTGTTTGGGTTTTTTTTACAGCAGACCCTTTACCATTTCTTTTTTTAAAAATATATTTTATTGATTTTTCTTTTTTAAATTTATATTATATTATTTACTTTTTTTAGAATATTTTATTTTTTTATTTTTATTTTTTTTTATTGATTTTTTTGTCCCCCTCCCTCCCTCCCACACATCTCCTCCCTCCACAGAGTTTTATGTCCATTGGTTGAACTTATATGCATATATAAAAGTCCTTCGGTTGATCTATTATCTCCCCCAGATCCTCTCCTCCCCACTGTAATTTGACAGTCTGCTTGTTGATTTATTGTCTCTATATCTATATTTTGGTTCATCAGTTTATAATGTTCTTTATTATCCACAAATGAGTGAGGTCATGTGGTGTTTCTCTTTCATTGATTGGCTTATTTCACTCAGCATGATGTTCTCCAATTCCATCCAGGTTGCTGCAAATGATGAGAATTCCTTCTTTTTTATGGCAGCATAGTATTCCATTGTGTAGATGTACCATAGTTTTTGGATCCAATCATCTGCTGTTGGGCCCCTAGGCACAGAGAGGAAGGGAAAGGGATGGATAGCCAGAAACATTGATGAGAGAGAATCATTGGCCAGCTGCCTCCTGCACTCCCTTAACCAGGGATGTGCCCACAACCAATGTACATGCCTTTGACCAGAATCAAACCTGGAACCTTTCAGTCCACAGACCAATGCTCTATCCACTGAGCTAAACCAGTTTTGGCAGCATTTCTTTTTTTATTAATTTAATAAATCTTTATTACTCAGATTATTACAATTGTTTCTCCTTTTTCCCCCCAAAGTTCCCCTCCACCCAATTCCCACCCCACTCTCTGCCCTTACCTCCCCCCATTGTCCTCATCCATAGGTGTACAATTTTAGTCTGGTCTCTTTCTGCACTCCCACCCTCCTTTTCCCCTGATAATTATCAATCCACTCCCTTTCTTTGCCCCTGATTCTATTATGTTCACCAGACTATTCTGTTCCTCAGATTTTTAATTCACTTGATTTTTAGATTCACTTGTTGATATATATGTATTTGTTGATCATAATTTTTATCTGTTTTCTTCTTCTTCCTCTTCTTAAAGAATACCTTTCAGCATTTCATATAATACTGGTTTGGTGGTGATGAACTCCTTTACCTTGTTCTTATCTATGAAGCTCTTTATCTGACCTTCAATTCTGAATGATAACTTTGCTGAGTAGAGTAATCTTGGTTGTAGGTTTTTGCTATTCATCACTTTGAATATTTCTTGCCACTCCCTTCTGGCCTGCATAGTTTCTGTTGAGAAATCATCTGACAACTGTATGGGTGCTCCCTTATAGGTAACTAACTGTTTTTCTCTTGCTGCTTGTAAGATTTTCTCTTTGTCTGTTGCCCTTGGCATTTTAATTATAATGTGTCTTGGTGTGGTCCTCTTTGGATTCCTTTTGCTTGGGGTTCTGTGAGCTTCATGTACTTTTAAGTCTATTTCTTTCATCAGGTGGGGGAAGTTTTCTGACATTATTTCTTCAAATAGCTTTTCAGTATCTTGCGCTCTCTCTTCTTCTGGGACCCCCATAATTCTGATGTTGGTACTCTTGAAGTTGTCCCAGAGGCTCCTTACACTATGTTCAACTTTCTGGATTCTCTTCTCTTCTTGCTTCTCCAGAGGGATGTCTTTTGCCTCTTTGTATTCCAAATCATTGACTTAATTCTTGTGTTCCTCTGGTTTGCTGTTTGGTCTCAGTATAATATTTTTTTTTTATTTAAGTCAGTGTATGTTTAATTTCTAGTTTGTCCTTTTAAATATCCTTGGGGATCTTATTAAATTTATCGACCTTTTCTAGGAAATTCTTGAAAAACCTTATAACCATGGTTTTGAACTCTATATCCAGTCTTTTGTTTTCCATTTCTTGTTTGATATCTATTTCCTTGTCTTGGCATTTTTGCTGCTTCCCTGTGTTGATAGAATGGCTTTGTGTGTTTGGTGTCCTATATGGCCCAGTGGGTCGGCTTCTCCAGTTACTTGAGGTAGACACTCTTGTTGCTCCCCTTTGTAGTCTGTGTGTATAGTAGGGGTGTCGAACTCAATCAGAGAAGGGGCCAAAATCTAAAATCCAGCCTAAATCGCGGGCCGAATGGTTTACTGAACAGTCATAAACTGTCATTGTGATGGAAACGCAGCGGAGTGCAGTGATGACAGCGCGGTGCGGGCCACATTGCAAGGCCTGGCGGGACGGATTTGGCCCGCGGGCCTTGTGTTTGACACATGTGGTGTATAGCCTCGTTGTAGTTAAATCTTGATTATTGTTGTTATCACTGGAAGGAATTGACCTCCAGGCCCATTGGATGTGAGTATCAGCTGTGTCTACTCCGGGATACCTTCTGTATTGGAGACAGTCTTATAGGATAAGAATTGCAAAATTGCAAAAGCCTCTGTGCTCAGCTTGGATGGAGTGGAGTCTCAGGGCTGAGCTGACAGTCTTGGCTTCCTGTCAGCCCTGCCCTTGTGTGCGAGCCTCAGACCTCTGCCTTCCATGGCTCCCCTGAGTGAGTTTCCGCCTGATAGTCCAGAATCCCCTTGTAAGAGCATGGGTGCCCCAAGAGCTCACCTGGAATTGGATTGGGTCTCTGTAGTCTGGAGCTTCTGACTCCTTCTGCTATGGAGCAGCTGCGGAAATCCACGGTGAGATCTCTCTGCATGCACTCACTCGCACTCTGCGGTTCCAGCTCTCCTGGTCTCCTAGTCTTGTCAGACCTCTCTGTGTCCACTCACTTGCATGCTGCAGCTCCTGGCTCCCCTGAGTCTCCCATGTCTCCAGGTACATTTCTCTACAGTGCAGATGAGCCTGGGTCCAAGGGGTTTCAGCGGGGGTTAGGGTTTAGTGCAGTTGGAACTGCAGTTCAGTGCAGTCGGGGACTTCCTTTCCCCTCCTGCCACCCAGGCATTTGGCCACCCTTCCTCTCTGCGTGCACGTCTTCCAACCTTAGCATTTTGCAGATCCCCTGATCTGTGAGCCTCTCTCCTTCTTTATAGTTGTAGCTTTTCCATTCTGCCAGCTTTCCTGTGGTTTTGGGTGATGTCCGTTCTGTCTTTTAGTTGTTGTCTTGAAATTGTTGTGTGAGGCGGCAGCTTAGGTGCTTACCTAGGCCATCATCTTGGTTTCTCCCTCCCTTTAGCATTTCTTGCATTGCTGGTTTGGCAGTAATAAACTCCCTTATCCCTTTTTTGTCTGTGAAGCTCTTGATTTCAACCTCAATTTTGATTGATAACCTTGCTGGTTACAGTATTCTTGGATTCAGATCCTTTCTTTGCATGACCTTATATATTTCATTCCATTCCCTTCTGGCCTGGTGTGTTTATGTTGAGAAATCAGTTGCTAGTCTGATGGGGGATTCTTTGTAGGTAACTTTCTGTCTGTCTCTGGACAGTTTTAAGATTCTTACTTTGTCATTGGTGTTTGCCAATTGAATTATAATGTGTCTTGGTATCGGTCTTTTGGGGTTCATTTTACTTAGGACTCTGTGAGCTTCTTAGATTTGTGTGAGTTTTTTTCTTCCCTATATCAGGGAAGTTTTCTGTCATTATTTATTCAAACAGGTTTTTTTATTCCTTGCCCAGTTTCCTTTCTTTCTGGTACCCCTATTATGTGGATTTTTTGTTTGTTTGTTTTCATGTTGTTCCAAAGTTCCCTTAGGCTCTTCTCCTGCTTTTTAATTATTTTTTCTGGAAGCTGCTCTACTTGGGTATTTTTTACCCTACCTTGTCTTCTAGCTCGCTGATGTAGTCGTCTGCTTCTTCTAGTCTACTCCTGATGCTTTCTATTGAGTTCTTTACAGCAGTGATGGCATTTTTCTTTTTTCTTTTTTTTCTTGGTTATTCTTCATTTCCTCTTGGTTCTTACTCATGTTGTAGAATTTCTTTCATTCTTTTCATCCACCTTATAATCACTTCTCTGAATTCTTTCTCTGATGGGTTGCTTGCGTCCATTTCATTTACTTTCTTTTCTGATGATGTTTCATATGCAGGCTGTTTCTTTGTTTCGCCATGATCTCTCTTCTCCAGTTGTCTGGTTATGTATTTCTCTCTCTCCTGCATTGATTTAAAGGCACAAAATACAACACAGCAAAGTACAACACACAAGGCACTGAACACAAATATATTCATGATATTAGTAACCCCAAGTGAAGGTGACCATCATAAAAAGGCCAGTTAGAGTATAGAAGAGAATGGAGAAGAGACATTAAAAAAAAAAAAAAAAAAAAAAAAAAAAAAAAAAAAAAAAAAAAAAGAGTGCAAAAATGAAATTGGGAAAAGAAAAAAAAGTAAGAGATAATAGAGAATTAGGAAGAAAAGGGGAAAAACTATATATAGGAGCAGAAAACTACAATAGAACAGCCACTGATCCCAACACATGCCAACAACAAGTACCTGGAGATGAATGCAAACTACAAACATCAACTATTATCAAGTGAGGTGAGGGAAAACAGAAGCAAAAAAAAAAAAAAAAAAAAAAAAAAAGAAAAGAAAGAAAGAAAAAAAAAACACAATCTCACGAACAAGCACAAAAAAATCAATATAATCAATAATCAAGCAAACAACAACAAAAGGACAGCGAAAAAAAAATTAAAAACTTTGGATAGTGATGAAAGAGAAGAGAGAGGTGTGTATGGATTTGGACCAGGGGATTGGAAATTAGATATTTAAGTATGGTGAAATTTTAGCAGGGGGTCAAAAGAAGGAATAGGGAAAATCTAAAGCAGGAGGAAGATAAGAGAAACAGGATAACAAAAGGGGAAAAGTGAGGAAGAGAGTGTTGGCATAAAGGTAAAGTTGAGATAGAGTGAAATGATGCTAAAGGAAAGATGAAAATAGAATGTGGAACACTAATCCCAACGTAAAATAAAGAAAAAATAAAATGGCACTTAAAAATGGTAAAATATTAGTACTAATAATATTGATTAAAAATAACAATGTAATAATTAAAAAGGTAAAATCAATTTAGGAAAAAAGAAAGAAATTAGTTTATTAAGTAAAAGATGAAAT